AAGGATTCTGGAACTGACAATAGTCCGTTCTCAAACGGGCAATTGTTTTATAACTTTGTATGAGCCATAATATTGTACACTAGCTTCTGCATGCTGTATCTGCTGTCCCCTGTCCTAACTTGTCTGTGTCCTCATCTGTAGATCCTCCCTCCAGTTGGTGTGGGATGAACAGCTGTCTGGTGTTTTGGAAATAGTGATGTTGAATTTTTGGTTGCTGCTAAGTCCTCTGTGGCTTTTTGGGGGGGGCTACTTAGTCCATAGTGTGCTTAGTATTTTACTAGAACTGGCTTTGTTTTTTGAAGATTTTTTTTCCCCAGATTCCTAAGAAGTGCCAGAAAAAAACTTTACATATTGTCCATATGTTCACATTGCTGGGCTAATGAAATTGGTGGTGTTGATCCACTACTAGGAAGTAAACAGTCAAACTACCAGGGTGGATTGATTTTAAATCGTTGATTTTAATTACAGTTTTGCATTTGTACTTAGTTATTTTCCTAAAGAAAGATAATTCTCATTGGTTGGTAGCCATTAAAACATGAAGACACGCTATATCTATACACTTTTATTTGAGCCTTTATGTAGCTTAACTCATTTAGTCAGATCCTTAATTTTTACATTTTTATTTTGCTAGAAAACCGTGAATAATGCATTTCTTATTTACTAGATGATTAATTTTTTACTTGTGCAATGTGTCAAATCTATTTGGATGGAAATTCGAACAATTTAAAAATGCAAAAAAGCAGCATTTTAAAGTTATTTTTTAATTGGTTAAATAAAACTACCTTAAATGTCCTGGATACATAAGAAAAAAGTTGATCAAAAATTATCAAAACATGTTTTGCATTTAAAACTTATTTATGAAGTAAAGGAACTATTATCTACAGTTAGTGAGTGAATCAACGTGATTGTTTCTTGTCATCATGTCCTTCCAGATTTTAGAACTAGTAGAAATCATAGATTGGAAGAAGAAAACAAGCTGTTTTGCTTTTTTCAACTTTAACTTTGAATGAACTAATAATTGAACTGAAATAATTAAATCAACTGAAATGGAAATATTCTCCCTGAACCTGCAGACAAGGTTACTGCTCTCAAAAGTGGATTTAGCATATCAGGAAACACTGGATCCAGGTGCTTAGCCAGTGGCTTCCACCAGTCCAGTACTTTGATTTTCTTTAAAACTCTGGTTGTAAAAATATACTGCTTTAATTTTTTTTAATGTAAATTAAATTATTTTAATAGGTTTGAGTAAGTTTAGGCCTTAATGTATGTTGTCATAACTTCAAATTTAAATTTAAGTAAATCTGTTTTTAAAAATAATCCTGCATTTAATGTAAATAAAATCTGATTTAAATTAAAAAAAAAAATTAAAAAATTGATTTTTATCCTCCCTGCAAGATAACTGTTCCTCCATTTGGAGAACAGGCAAAATTGGAACGGAAGGATGTTTATCTAGCAATTGGTAGGGGGTAGAGTTATCTACGTCCGAGCCAAGAAGTTTCAGTATTTCAGTTCCAGACTTGGAACTCCGTAGCAGAAAGTAAATGTAGACATTGAGAACCAAAAATGTTTTGGTTCCAGATATGAACAATTTTTTCACTGACCTCTTTTTAGTCTCATGCATATAAATTTTGTATTGCTGCATCCATTGATAATTGGTAAGTTTTGTATTTCAAAAACTTGGCTTAACCTACATATTATTTAACCAACCCAAAAGTCACTTAATTCTATTGTTTATCACAACTTTAATAAGTTGTGATATGCTAGAGCATAATTGATAATATTTACCTTATTTACCTTAATTTTGTTCCATACTTTTGGTCCATTTAACAGACACAACTGGCAGCATCTACTCAAGAGATTGGTATTAAAACAGCAGATGCATTTCAGGGTCAAGACTATTGGTATTTCCTCAATTTCATAAACACTAAATTAGCTCACAAATTATACCTGTAAATCAAGTGTGCAGCTTGTTGTGAAAGAAATGGAAATGGGATGGGTTTGGTCTTTTTTATGTCCTGCAGCAATGACTTCTTGTGCTGTGGCCTTGTCTGACCTCACAAAGTATACAGAGCTGACTTGGACAGTACTTGGATGAGAAATGTCCAAGGAAAATCCAGGATGCAACTGGAAACAGGGACTTGTGTAAGTAATTTAGTATCTGGCACTTTCCTTCTGAGTTCCTGTGAATCAGTTCAACACACTGTTCAGGGTATTGTCATTGGAAGTATCATTAGTCCTGAGGTAGTGATGAATTTTTGTTTAGGGAGTTACACTCTGTACTGAGCTTACTGGTGGGTAGGTGTATGGGTGTGTGTGTGAGAGATTCCCCTTTTTGCTAGATTCCCCTTGCTAAAGTGCACTTTGGAAGTACTCTCAAATTCAGAATTACTGCCACAGCTATATTTTGTCCTTAGAGATTGTCCCTAAGGATTTTTTCAGACAATTGAAAATATCCTGTGTGCTTGTTTTAAAAATAATAACCAAAAAAATTAAATAGTCCTTTTATAATCCTTGTATCATGGTAATGACGTACCGAGTCACACAATAGATTCCTGCCAGCACTGCAACTGTCATATCTTTAGAATGTCAAGATTCTCAGCCTTTCAATTTTATGTATTTGTGTGTCATGCTGATGGTTTGAGATGACAGACTTTAAAATTAACCCTGGCCCATCACACCAGTTTGGGAGTTTCAGTACTTGTCTAAGACTGAATAAAAGCAAGTCCTATGGTAATATTTAATCTCTGAAAACGGAAGACGTTTATAGTCAGTGTGTATGAAATGTGATTCAGTTCTCTGAAAACAGAGTTTGCTAACCTGACTTGATTATTTAAAATTAAGAGGTTTAATTTGCTTTCAAGACAACAGCAGCTTTAACATTATGGGTTGCTACACCATGCATTGTAGTCAAACTATTATTGCTCCCTCTTAAGTCTCTGGTCACATCTCCTCTCAAGCTACTATTCTGAATACCTCATTCATATCCTTTTCCCAGGACCATGTCTGTGCCTTTCATAAGGCCCCTAAATCTGGAACTCCCTTTCTGACCCCATCCTGTTTCCAAGTACCTCCTCTAAACTCTCCACCAAGGAAACTTAAACTGTGGTTTCTTTTTAAATTATTGACTGTTCTCAGTTGCCTGCATTATTTTCACGAGCAACCAAATGTTTGTATTTTCACCCTTGTTCTCTTACAGTTTGACTATTCCCTTAGTCCCCCACAAGGCAGATTGATTTATATCAGTGATTTAATTCAGCAGCAGGAAATCTTGATATCAGTAATCAATTTTAATCTTGTTTTTCATTTGTACTTCTTATTTGTCTAAAGAGAGGTTGATTCTCATTGTTTTTAATTTGGTACTACTTTTTGTTAACCAGGAGGATAAACTATAGCAGTTGTATTACTTGGCATATACTTATTCAGATTCTTAATTTTTGCTCTGTGAGAAAATAGTGAATGATGCATTTCTTATTTCCTAGATGATTAAGTATTTACTTGTGATTTGTGTCAAACTGCATTTGGATGGAAATTAAAATTCAATTAAAATGCACAAAAAGAACAAAGTAGTTTATTAGTTTTAAATAAAATTATCTTAAATATCGTGGATACATAAGGAGAAAAGTGAGTTTATGAAAACATGTTTTGCCTTTAAAACTGATTTATTAAACAAGGAAAGTATTAATAATTAGTGAATTGATGTGATTTTGTTTCTGGTCACCATGTCATTAAATATTTTAGATCTAGTAGATCTCATCCTCTCTCACCTCATTTTTATTCATAGATAGTAACAGGAAAACAAGCTTTCATGCTTTTTCAGTTGGTTTCCCAACTCTGAACAAATAATTTAACTGAACTGGTTGAATAAACTGAGATGAGTGAAATATTTTCTCTGCAACTGTGGAAGCTATCAAAAGCTGATTTGTCGCTTCAACAGTCTCTGGTTCCAGGTGTTTGACCATTGACTTCCACCAGTTCAGTGGTTTGAAGTTTCTTTAAAACTTCAGCAGCAAACATGTACTCCTTGAATATTATTTTTATTTAAATTATCTTACTATATTTTATTAAGTTTAGGCCTTAACACAGGTCATCATTTTAATTACATTTTATTTTTAAAAATAAACCTATTTAAATTTTTAAAAACATCTTAAATCATTGTTTATCTACCTCAGTCCTGCAAACAAAATTGCATGAACAGAGTCCTGTTCCCACACAGAGCTGCCTTTAAGCCAGTACGGCCCTACATAGTTTTCTTTGCAGGCTTGGATCCTGGAAGCAATTTGGGTTAGACCTGTATTCTTTTTTGTGAAGTGTCATGCACTTCTGTGGTGCTGTATAAGTAGTAAATAGCAGTCACTACAAAAGGTGGTATCACATTCCCAAATCAAGAATTCATATGCCAGGTGTCCTTTCAGGCAATGTTTGAGTGAGTGGCATAATGGGATTCTAATGCAGTAGATAGAGCACAAGCTGGGTCTGTATCCATATGTGCCTGGGTGGGACACTTTTAAAGAAATGTGACTAACACAGGTCCTTCTGATTCCCTAACGTTTTCATCCACTTAAACATGTTTAAAGTTTGCTCCATATCAGTTTGCACCAGGCACTGGAAAGGTTGTATGAGAAGGAGGATTAGAAAAGCAGAATTACCTAATTTTATTTTCACTTTTTTTGAGCACACCATAGTGTGTGCAGAGCAAGATAAATGAAAGCTGTGGCAGGCTAAGCAGCAACTGTATTGAATGCAAACCAGGGGAAACAATTGGGCAAGAGTTTATTCTTCTGCACCTGTGGGACAAAAAAACGTATAGGCTATTCAAGGATATCTTTAACTACACGGAGTAACTGAACATATCTCTGAAACTTTCTTATATTAATAACCTATTTTTCATGGATGTATTGTCTATTTATGAATGTATTAATTTCACTACTACTGCACTCAAAATCAAATTACCATGCTAAATTCAAGCACTCGTTTGTTTGTTTGTTTGTTTTTTTTAACAGCCACAGTGGAATGTTACAATCCAAGAATGAATGAATGGAGCTATGTTGCAAAAATGAATGAGCCCCACTATGGTCATGCTGGAACTGTGTATGGGGGATTAATGTATATTTCAGGTAAATCGTTCTTTTAAGTTTATGAACAAAACCCACCACACATGAGGCATATTGGCTACATACTTTTTCTTACTCCAGTGGGTGAAGGAAGAGTAAAAGAATTGTTCTTACTTTAGATATAAAACATCTGCATGTTTCAAACAGTGATTCATAGCTTCATACAAAGTTAGTCAAATAACACACACTTACTAAATCTCTAAAAGAACCATTTTAGATAAAAATACTGCTGTTGGTAGATACTTATTTTAAACCTGTCTAATTTGCAATGCTCACTAGTACATCTTAACCTTCGGTGCTGCATTTTTATGAACACAAACACTCATAGTTGTCAAACAGAATTTGTCATTTTGCCCTTAGATAAGTAGTTACCTCACTAAAGATTGGAAAGGTTACATAACACTACAAATACTGAGATAAAAGTATCTACTTATGTAAGACAAAGTTGGAAGGATTTTAAGGTTAACCACAGTATGTGAGTGGTTTCAGAGTAGCAGTCATGTTAGTCTGTATCCGCAAAAAGAACAGGAGTACTTGTGGCACCTTAGAGACTAACATTTATTAGAGCATAAGCTTTTGTGAGGTACAGCTCACTTCATTGGATGCACAGAATGGAACATATGGTAAGATAGATAGATAGTGTATATACACAATCTATCTTACTATATGTTCCATTCTATGCATCCAATGAAGTGAGTTGTAGCTCACGAAAGCTTATGCTCTAATAAATTTGTTAGTCTCTAAGGTGCCACAAGTACTCCTGTTCTTTTTTGCAGTATGTGAGTGGTGTCTTTACTTTTCACTGCTTCTGTGTTGCTGTAACTTTTGATTGGTCCTGTGCCTCTGAAAGGCGATAATGTAATGCATGCTGTTCAAATCAGGATCCATAGTTATCCTGAGAAAGAAAGTTCTCTGATCTCCCATATAATTATTCTCCTTTGAGGGGAATTCCATGCCAAGTCAATAAATGGTCCCACCTGATGTACTCTGATTTCACATGCTTTCCCTGGGTAGTGGCATTTAGTAGGCTCCATGCCCACATTTTTGCCTCATGCTTGTTCTAAATAACACTTGGCTCAGAATTTCCACTGACCTCAGACAAGGACACTTCCTTTTTATAGCGATAGTGCAGCTGAAATGAGTGCATTGCACCCAGTGTATATTTTACAACCACTCTAAGAATTTTGTTTGCCCTCCTTTAAGAACTCAAATGCAAATATTCTATGACATTGGTTTATTAGATACAGTTTGAAGCCAGGCATGATAGGGTGGTTTTAGTAGACGGATTTCTCATCAGAAGGGATCTGTATTTTTTTACATGTTACATTTTAGATAAAATCAGGGATTTGTCATGTTGCAAAAGTTGTTTTAAAGTTAGATTCTTCCCTTTCTAATTTATTTTCTATCTACGTATCTTTAAATTATTAGTGAGCTTACAGTCCCTGCTGCAGCTTCTCACCTTGCTCTTTGTATTCCCCACAGGTTTTCTCTGTCTGTCCATATAGACACCCTTACGGGTGCTATTACCTTAATGATGAAAACAATGTCAATACCTAGACAGTCTCTCAGTCGAATGTTCTCTTGTTCAGGTTTTTATCATCTGACAGACTGCCAAGCACTCATAGTGGTGGCTGCCATTAGGTGGCTTAAGCAGCTCATTAATCCTCTTTTTGTTTCTTTGCTTGCTTCCTTTCCAAAGAGCTCTTAAGGGCTTTTTTAAATGGCTTTTACAGAAGTCAAGGATTCTGCAAATCCTGTGATAATCAAAGCATTACAGTTTAGGTCAAATCACTTAGACTTATGCCTGTCTTCTGAAAAAGTCTTGTTTTATAGCGATCTCCTACAGTTAAACAGGTAGTTGTATAATTGTCAGAAACAATGCCATCTTGAACACATCTGTAATGGCTGAAATTAGTGTAGCTGCTTTCTCTAACCTCACCTGAAATCTTCATGCAGGAGGGAGCAACTTGATCTTGTGGTTAGAGTACACTACTGGGAGTTGGGAGACTTGGGCTCTCGTGTCTGCTCTGCCATTTTCTTAATATGGCCTTGGGAAAGTGTGAGAACTGAAGGCCAATTAGGAGGAGCTGGTCAGGCTTTTAGGTTGACCAACTAGTATGCACGCAGGCCTCAAAGGTTCTGGGCATATGTTGCTTGTTGAAAGAAGTTTGACTTTTTATAAATTTTATTAAAACAAAAATTAAAAAAACAGATCTCCAAAGCTCAACCTACTATTAATATTAAACTTAACTAACAGTAAAGTACTACAACTGTCAAATAAAGGGCAAATCGAACATGTTAGACTCAATATTGAATTACAGTTAAATCATCAAATTAATACGAAAAATAATCAATCTTTTTACAGATTTTAAGAAGGTGCCTGTCCGTATTGTTATAATTCCCATCTAAGGAATTTTGACCAGAGGGAGTCAAATCTATAATTGCTTAATACTAAAGCCAAATTATTATCTAATGTCTGGACAACCTCAAAGCCAATTATAGAGCTTACTCCTTGGATTTCAGTGTGATGGCTAACCCTTCCTCCCCAGAGATGGTATAATACAGACTGTAACAGGAAGTTCTTGATAAGCCATTGTTTAACAACTCTTATTTTCCTGAAAATGTCAGTGACAATCTCAATTCTTTCAGTTCTATTAAACATAGGACACACAACATACTCTAATGAGTATCTCTGAGACATTTAGAGCTGATTATACCTGGGGAAATTTTCTTTCAGGCTCCGTCCCTGTCTGGCCTTCATGAGTGTAGCCCCAGTTTCACTTCCATGCCCCAAACATAAAAAGGTTAAAAACAAGACAAAAACCCAAAAAGAAAAAATTCTATTTAGAATAGCAAGGGCTATACAGACTCTTCAGCTCTTTGTCTCCTAGAGTTTGGAACTGCAGTCAAGGAGTCAGATGGTGGTGATCTGCTGGCACAGCACTTGTTGCTTGTGGGACTCCTTCAGGTACAGGTGAAGACTAGAGAAGGCTGTAATGGCTTTGTAGTTGATGTGACTTCCTCTCTTCAAGATTATCAATATTGGGGATTTTGGCAGGTCAGTCTTCTCTCAGATGACTTAGTGACCCAAAACGGCAAGGCTTCTTGGCCTTACCCTTGATTCTGAGTCTGTGACCTTAGCTACTCAGCCTTAACTACCTACATGGAGCCATGTAGCTTGGTCCAATCAGGAGCAAATTTTGTCAGGAGAAAGTGTCAATATGGAAAAGTCCTACTTAAATCAGCCATTTAAGAACTAGTCAGTGTTTTGCATACCTGAGAAACTGAGTCTGTGATCTCCTCCCCCCACCCTCCAAGTATAAAAAATATCTCGTACATTAAATCTCTTTTTAGGAAGCTGGCATGATCTTATGTGGGTGAAAGGTCTTAAGGTGACATTAAATCCCCAGTTTACAGTAAGTTCAATATGAAATTCTATAAAAATAGCTTATTGGAAAAAATCCTAGTAATAAAACCAGTCCCTCCAAAATCATTCATCAGCAAAATTAAAAATAAATTCAAATTTATTATCAGTTTCATCATCTTCAATTTCTTCTTCCCTCATTCTTTTTGACCTTCCATTCCAGCACTAGGCTATTGGTCAAAGAGCTTACTTTCTGAACTCTTCGTTTTTACATAGAAAAATTACTTTATAGCTTATCAAGAAGAAGCCCATTTGAAATATAAACCCCTACATTTTATATAAGGGTCTATATTCCCATATAAGCTGTCCCTCATTTAACTCCCTGTTGCTTATTTTCTTTATGGTGCATTTGTTGTTGGAGCCATTGATGGAGATTATCACTAAATAGAGGGAGGAAAAATCTTGCTATCAAGGCATGCTCCTGTAACTCTACAGACATTGATAGCCCTCTCTAATGCCGGTGGTTAAAGAAAAGGTACTATGTTAAAGAGCAGCTATGTCTAAGGAAGCATGAGGTTACACACTCAGGGTCACTGGCCAACTACTAAAGTTTACAAACTTATGTGACTGTCCCATTTTATGCTTTCGTTTGTAGGAAGCGATCTGAGAAGTAGGTAAGTGGCCTCTGAAATTTGCGCTGTTTGAAGGGATGTCAAAGTTTGCTGTTCAGCATCAGCTGAAGTGGCAGTAGTGACGCGACTTGAAAGTGAGTAAGTGCTGCTTGGAAATGGGTCAAATGGAACAAAAATCCTTCCCCAGGCAGCACTGTTCATTTCACTCAAAGCCACCACTTCTGGTTCCTCAGCTGATGTCAGAGTCCCTCTGATATGCTCTTGACAGAGATGCTCTTCAGAAGTAGCTTACTCACAGTTGGACAATTGCCTGTCACTAGAGAGCCGGTAAAAGGGATGCTAAATAGAAGTCTGATTTCATAGTAGCAGCCGTGTTAGTCGGTATCTGCAATAAGAAAAGGAGTTCTTGTGGCACCTTAGAGACTAACAAATTTATTAGAGCATAAGTTTTTGTGGGCTACAGCTCACTTCATCAGATGCATAGAATGGAACATATAATCACACACACACACACACACACACACACACACACACAGTTGGAAGTTGCCATACAGACTGTGAGAGGCTAATTAGTTAAGATGAGCTATTATCAGCAGGAGAAAAACATTTGAAGAGGATTAAGAGGAAACTTTTTTTTTCTCCTGCTGATAATAGCTCATCTTAACTAATTAGCCTCTCAGTTTGTATGGCAACTTCCAATTTATCTGTATGTGTGTATATATATATCTTCTTACTATATGTTCCATTCTATGCATCCGATGAGGTGGGCTGTAGCCCACGAAAGCTTATGGTCTAATAAATTTTAGTCTCTAAGGTGCCACAAGTACCCCTGTTCTTTTTAAACAGTAGTCTGTCAGATTGGGACCATGAGCAGGGACAGTGTGCTCACTTTTCTCAGAACTGTTGCTGGTTCTTTAATTTCAGGCTCTTGAGTTAAATGAAAGTGGGGAAAAGTTTGCCAAATCAGAAGGTTTCAAATGGGAAAGGAGTGCAACTATTTTCTCTTTTTTTAAAAGATTCATATAAACAATGGAGAATTAGTCAGAGAGCAGAGTTGCCTCTCTCAAATCCACAACTAGAGGGGAACCTTTGCACAAGTATATCTCACCAGTTCAGTTCAGAGGGCGGGCTCAGCTGCTTTCTCAGGAACAGTACTCTCCCCTCTTCAGGACTCAGCAGAATCCTCTTCACATAGTCCAAGTTCTGTGTTGGCAAAGAGGTAGAAACTGGGTAATCTGTAATGAGGAATGGACAGGATGTAGATGGAGCCAAGGGAGATGCACCATCTATGGCTACATGGAGCTTACTCAGAAAAGAGAATACAGCCTGGGACTATGTTATCTTGTTGATTGAGCCATTCCCCAGAATTCCCAGGGGCGGCCACACTCCGAGTTTCCCTACTAATGCAGGTGCCATGGTGTGGAGATGCGTGTGCTCCACACAAACGGTTCTGGTCTCCCGTATCTATATCCTTGAGCAGTGGTTCTCAACCAGGAGTATGTGTACCCCTGGGGGTTCGCAGAGGTCTTCCAGGGGGTACATCAAGTCATCTAGATATTTGCCTAGTTTTACAACAGGTTACGTAAAAAGCACTAGCTAAGTCAGTACAAACTAAAATTTCATCCAGACAATGACTTGTTTATACTGCTGTATCTAGGATACACTGAAATGTAAGTACAGTATTTATATTCCAATTGATTTATTTTATAAATATATGGTAAAAATGAGAAAGTAAGCAATTTTTCAGTAACTGTGCTGTGACACTTCTGTATTTTTATGTCTGATTTTATAAGCATGTAGTTTGTAAGTGAAGTGAAACTTGGGGTATGCAAGACAAATCAGCCCCCTGAAAGAGGTACAGTAGTGTGGAAAGGTAGAGAGCCACTGTCCTTGGGGATCTTCTAGAATTTGTTGAAATACTGTTACATTTTTGCTATGACTTGTTTATTCCAGGGTCAATATTACTTTGATTTTCTTTCTTTCTATAGGCGGAATTACCCATGATACTTTCCAAAAAGAACTTATGTGCTTTGACCCCGACACAGACAAATGGACTCAGAAAGCTCCAATGACAACAGTTAGAGGTCTGCACTGCATGTGTACTGTTGGAGACAAGCTTTATGTTATTGGCGGAAATCACTTTAGAGGAACAAGTGATTACGATGATGTTCTAAGCTGTGAATATTATTCACCCACCCTAGACCAGTGGACTCCAATTGCTGCTATGTTACGTGGGCAAAGTGATGTTGGGGTTGCTGTCTTTGAAAATAAAATCTACGTTGTTGGAGGGTACTCTTGGAATAATCGTTGTATGGTGGAAATAGTCCAGAAATATGACCCGGAAAAGGATGAGTGGCATAAGGTCTTTGACCTCCCAGAATCACTTGGTGGCATTCGAGCCTGCACTCTTACAGTTTTCCCACCAGAAGACAACACAGGGTCACCTTCTAGAGAGTCACCTCTGTCGGCACCTTAAAAAAATCCTTTGACTTACGGTGTTGTGGTAATACCTTTGCACTGCATCATGGAGTGTCTCATTTTTCTTCAGTAGTATCTGTTAGGCTTAGCCTACAGCAATTGGTACAGTTACTGAGGGAGAAAAAAAAAAGACTTTGACATTACTTGTGCTGTTTGTTTGGCCTAGAATGTTTATCGAGTGGTTAGCAAAGATTATGGAAAAATGTACTCAACAGAGCCAAATCTTTAAAAGTGAGAAACAAGATATTGTCTATAAAATATATGAATTAGGTACGTTTTTAATGTTGTGTATTGGGTGTGAGGTACCTTACAACTTACATTAGGAAGCCCAATAAATCAAATTGGAAGGGGTCATAGTGAACGTGTAATTATGTTCACTAACCTTCATATTTGAAAGTCTTTCTTCCTTTCATCTTTGATTGCAGATTTTAAAGGGAGGCGGCCTGCACCCATGTGAACTATGACAAAAGGTTGCCAGCAGGCCTGAGCTACCTCCCTCTTTTCACAGAGTATTTTTGACACATCTCTTTACCTGCCCAACTGGGTGGGTGCTTTAAGAGCATATGGAGTTTCTTAGGCAGACAGGAGAAATCAAATAATAATTTAAAAAATATTAATATTATGCAACAGGTGGACCCTGTGTAGGCTGGGTTTTTTTTAATAGCATATATTGAGGGGGTTTTCCCTGACTCAATTAAGTGACACTTCAAACAGAAGACTTAAAATGTTTGGGCTTTTTAATTTTTGGTCTCTTTCCCCTCCCCCACACACCCAGTAATCAGCTTCCGTTTGTAAGGGAGCATAAGCTATTAATAAATTGGAATTCAGTACAGTTGTATGACCTGTTGTATGCCTGTATTGAGTTATGTAGATAAGGGCTAGGAATGTTAATTCAAGCCACTAAATTTGTCCAAATTGTTCCTTCAGATCAAATTTAATCTAATTTTTCTCCTTCGCTGTTGAGATAACTTACATATTACATGTCCTTTGTATAGTCTCAGTTAATAAGGTTATTTAGCACAAAGTGCAGCTTCAGCAGGAGAGCTGCTTTTTGCTCAGTGAACTCAGACTACCATGTTTTACCTTCTTTTGTTCAATAAAACTTTTAACTGCAATTATTCAGCCTAAGATACCTCATTAATGTTGCTTTGATTTTCTTCTTCTGCTCACTGTTACCAGGGATACACATTGCATATATATGTGTGGGTAGATTAACTTGCTAGGAAACCAATGCACAAGTGGTCTCAAATGGGTACTTTGACCTACTTTCAAGGCACTATTTTGGCCATACTTGTCTATTGTAATTTTAAGGACTGAAAATGTGGAAATGTCTGAACAATTGTGCATAGAGTGAGCTAATATGTAAATGTTAAGCAGTACAAATGTACTACACAGTAATCTTTATCGGTTCCAACACAGTAATTTGCTTCTGAATATGTTTTCTTTTTTAAGTTCTGGTTTTAAATCAAATTAAATTTAAAATGCAGGGCAAATAATAACAAATGTTAGTCAGTTTTGATTATCTGAACGCAAAATCCTCATTATTTTTGGCTTTCCATCATAAAAAGCACAAGAATTTGTACTAATTGCTAGCAATCATGGTGGCTTTTGCAGACATCTGGAGATGGGTGTTTACATTATTTGTTATTTTATTATGGTATCTATTACCAGTTACAATATAAATCTTAGTAGCATGCTCTCAGCATAAGTATTCTTTTCCATGTTTTTCCACTATAACAATATTGGGTTTGAACCCCAAATCTTCTAACTGCTGGTGTTTGTTTTTCTCTGATGGAATTTAATTGGTCAAGTGTCCTTCACTCATTTTTCAAATGTACTTTTATCACAGGTTTCATATTTTAACATTATTTTGCTTAAAAGCAAAGTGGTTCTTCCTCAAAACATTTTCTAACTCTGGGCTACTTATGTTGAGTTACCACAAGTTATCCTGTATGGAAATGAAAGATGGAATGTTCTTGGGAAATATTTGACCTATTCAAGATCAAATGAGTATTCTAGGTAAAATATTTTGTTCCACTCATAGGAAACAGAAGATGAGCAAATATTGCTGTCACTAATGCAGGTATTTAACGTACACTTTACCTAATTTTAGCTTAAATGCCACCTCTAGTGAACTATTGTGAACATAAAACCCAGAGGCCTGTATCATACTTACTTTATTTTTCAACTAGAAAAGAAATCCTCCTCCTAGAAAGAGAAACAGCAACTCATTTTGGATGATTCAAGTATGGTTTTGGTTTCTGAATCCTTAGGGTCCACTTCTTGAAAGTGGATCTTAGCCCTGATGGTCTGCACTCTGAAGATGCTGATGGTGGAAAGACCCTTTGGAGATACCTTCCTGAAGATTAGAAGAGGAAGTCTAGCAGCTTCCCTGTCGGAGAGCAGGTAACTGGAACATAGCAACTCTTTCAGCTTTAGGGATTCTTTTTAATGACAAAATGTTAGCTATAATCCTTAAATGCAACGTGCTTGTGTTGAATTTCTGCACCAACACTGGATGTATATGGGATAATGGATTAGATTTGTCCTTAAATAAAATACTTCTCCTTTTGAATTTTTTTCCTGTTATTTTTATGGCTAAAGAATTCTACCACACAATGAAATTATTTCAGATCAGTTCACCAGGACTTAAGAGTAAATCTCAAAGACTCAATAGAGATGGCAAATTGTTTTTCTTTTGTGGTGCTCTGTTGAATAGCTTGACACTGACTGCATCTCTTTTCATGATAGCCTGAGAGAACCTCAGTCTGTGAATCTTGAAGGAATTATGGAAAGCTGCTTCCAGGAGAAGGATATTCACCCTCCACTTTTAACAAGATTGCTTTTGTGGCGAGATTGTGAGCTATCATGGCATTAAATGCTCGCAGTACACAGGTGATGGCCCAAGTCCTTTACATCAATTGTTGATAGTAACATCATCTAGTTGTCGCAGTACCAAAGAGGGAATGGTAATTGAATGCAAAGTTGATGCTTACCCTGAGTTGGATGCAAGGGATGTTAAGGGGACAGCTGGAAGAGCCATGGTAATCTCCAATACCCAAAGGCCAGAGGTGTCCGTCTTCCAACCGTTAAGGCAGTTTGTAATCTCAGGGTTGATCTGGACTCCTGTCTTGGTTCCCAAACAGCATTCCTAGCAGCTGCTGCTTTTGTCCATTTACAGCTGGTCGGGAGACTGTTGCAAGCCTCTCAGAAGCCACATGTTTGAGTTCCAGGCTTGACTGCTTCAATGCAGTATACATTGTCCCAAAGCCATTCCGGATTTCATTTGTTGCTTTGGATAAATTGTGGTGTTGCTGTACTGTCTTTACAGTTTAAAGTTCTTTTTGAAGATGTTTGCTCACTAGTTGTCTTATTGTAGCCCCTCCTTCCCATCTTATTCTAAATAGTCATCCCCTATTCCACTGATGTCTTCTTTGTTCTAGCCTAACGACTGGTTTCATGTGAGAAATCTCCTTTGCTTGGAGAGATTAATCTGTATCCAAACTACTGTCGACCTTGTTTCTGAGTTAAGACTGAACTCACGTATGTTTATAGTTCTCTTAACACTTCTGTTCTCTCGTTTCTGGAAGGTGCACCAAAATTTGTAAAAATGTAATGACTTGCCTAATTTAGGAAGGACTGAAGGGCAAAATGCACCATTACTGATAAGTAACAACTCACTGTTTTCCTAGGAATAAACTTGGAAAGTTAATTAATCTGATCATAGCACAACTTTCAGACACTTGGAAGTCAGCTATGTAAGACAAGTCATCTTGATTCAACATTGCTGAGAGTGTTTCTGGAAAAGTAGATATATGCTTATCTTACTGCAGGAAAAATACGGAGGCCTGGGCTACACTAGTGGGGGGTTCAAACTAAGATACGCAACTTAGTATCTTAGTTCGACTTACCTGGCCGTCCTCACGGCAGCGAGTCGACCGCAGCGGCTCCCCTGTCGACTCCACTTATTCCTCCTGCCGAGGTGGAGTCAGGCGTCGATTCGGGGATCAATTTATCGTGTCTATCCCCGATAGATCGAAGACATACCCTGAGTCTTGTACTCCACTGGCTTGCACCTTGCATAGTCAATCATGCCTATGCAAAGTGAATGTAGTATGCTACCCACTTTGCAGAGGTGTAGCATCCATGCTAGAATCAGACCCGCTGTGTATAGGGCTTTACATTTTCAGAGCACTTTACAGCTGTTCTTTTCTTTTTACGTAAGCACTGTGTAGTTAATCATAGTTTCCACTTAGCCGCAAGAGAATGAAAGTTCTTAAAGTCTACCTGTGGTCAGAAAGTCTATGTAAAAATACAACATTTTTATACTTAAGGAGAAAATCTGTGGCGTGAACAGTTATATCCGCTTTGCTTGATGACAAAAATAAGTTTTTGTTTCTTCTTACTCATGTCAGTACTGCAGAACCAGATGGAAAAGTGAGCCTGGTCTGGGAATCAGACCTTTTCTGCTTGGCTGCCACTAACTCATCATGTGACTTTTGGCATTTACCTGGTACATCTTTACCCCTGCTGCAAGTTAGGGATCATGTCAGCCTACTCACTGGGGTCTGGTGAGGCCTAATGGTTGTAAGCTGCCTTGAGTCCTCCAGAGAAGGACACAAAGCAGGTGATTATTTATTGGGGTGATATTTTTGGTTTATTTCATCCATCAACAGGGTGAAGTGAACTTAGTACCTTATTTTGCAGCCCCCATCCTCAGTCTCTTCCCTTTGTCTTCCACTATACTCACTATTTCTGGTGTACCATGGAAAATACCACAGTAGCCTCAAGTTTCCATCTTCAACAAAATGTTTTGCCTAGTTTCTTCTGTTTGTAAAGATGCTCCCTGTTAGATATTAGGAAAGAATTAAGGCAACCAGTGGCACAAGTGCCCTTCTGAAGTGTTTAGATAACTAGGCTGTTTGCATGTTTTCAGGGGATGCAAGTTCATATAGCCTGGGAAAGGTGCTGCTGTAGAGGTTTATCGGTACTTCATCTGGGGGCATGCCTCTCAGCCCTGGAAGACAGACACAGGCTAGCTCTACTTGAGCTAGCATGCTAACAATAACAGTGTGAACTTTTGCAACACTGGGTGGTGACACGGGCTAGCCACCCAAGTATGGACTCTGGTGGGCTTATACTTTTGGATCCTAGCCCAGGCTGCAACATCAACACTGCTGTTTTAGCACGCTAGCTCAAACAGAGCTAGGACATGTCTTTGTACCCGAGCTGAGAGACTCGCTGTCAAACTGCAGTGCAGGTCTGGAATGGAATTTGCCCGTTTATTAGAAGTAGGGCTGATCTTGGCTGCTATGGTTCTTGACCATGGGGGGCATATTGAACCTGTTGCTGCCTTTTTGTTTTTTGGATTTCAGCCATGAATTGGGTAATGCCTTTTTTCCATCTGTGGTTGGACTGGAAACTACAACTGGTCCTTCCTGATCCAGAGGTTGCCAGAGCATTCATGTATCTACAAACTCCAAAGACCGGTTTCTGCAGTGTATTCTAGTGATGGTTTCTTTGGCTAAGCACTCTGAAGCACTGAATTTAAACTGTGAAGCCAAGATTGTCTTTGGAAAAGAGTCCTTGCTGAATGTGTATTGTTGATAAAAGGAACGCTTAAGACACTCCAGAAGCATTCCTCTTCAGTTAACAGATGATGATGATGATGACCATCACGGCCAAGATATTCACAAGCATTAGTGATTTTGGATGCCCAACTTGAGACACCTTAGAGGTGCCTGACATCTCAGAGGGAGGTGTTCCCTTGGGCTTTGTAAACATCAGTCCCCCTTTGAGCTGTCTCAGGTGGGCCACCAAAATCATTAATTACTTCTGAAAAATCTTGGCCAATGAGTGTAGAGTGGGAAAGATGCCTCTTTAAGATGTGGTTATTTAAAATATCCTGTGGGCATGCCATAACCGAGCAGGTTTGATACCAAGTTTGAAGTAATGTTTAGCTAAGTTTAATGCTATGCTGTTTATTACATCAGTTCACATTTTAAAACTGATAACTCATAACTTTTTCTATCTTCAAAATCCCAGTGTGAAAGTTTACTACATATCGAGGCTTACATACATGATCTTATCTATCTAGATCTCTACTAATAGGACT